AATAACAACTGAAGGTGACATAGATACTTTATTATGATATAGTATTTAAATATATTACTGAGAAACATAATATTGCCCCTTTAAATCAGTGGGTACCAACATTTGGGGGGTTGGAGCTTCTGTTAATGTACTGTTTATATATGTCAGTTCTTCTTTCTTTCCCAGATAAAAGTTTCTATTTGTTCACTTTGTTGTTTTATTTTGAAAAAGGGATAAAGGTTTAATGTGTCTTTGGTCAAGTTGGGTTGTTGGATTGACTCCCTCCATTCTACTAGGGGGCTCTATAGGTTGTTTATGTTTATTCTGAAGGACTTTTTGTGGAACCAGAATTGACTTTGTTTCCAATAAAAGAAGCAAACATTAAAAAGAAAAAACTCATATATTTACAGTTAAATACGTTACCCAACGTGGTAAGCTGTTTGTTATTGTAACATTAAGCATTTATGTAACTGGAGATTAATTTTTGTGTCGTAAATTAAAGAGAAAATGTGTTTTTCCTGCTTGAGTGTTCTGGAGAGATTAGCATTATGCTAGCATTTTTCTATGGACTTTAAACTGTATGTTAGCAGCTAATTAGCCCGACGCTAATGCTCGTTTCTTACCCAATTTGAATTAAAATCGATATGTTCTATAATCCAATGTTTTAAAGGAGTAAATTAAGTGTGCTTTACTTTCAGCTTCACAGCTTTAGTTGTGATTTATTTATTTAATTTCGTATGAAGGTCAAATTAACTTTTTATAAATTTGTGTTTTTGARTGTTTATAGAGTTTAATCTTTATAACGGTTTTGTGCAAACACTGATTTATATATATATATATATATAGTTTTGAACTGAATTGAATTTCTAGAGATTTACTTGTGCAGAATTATTGTGACGCTCTTGCAGGAAGTGTCCCAGGCTGCGCAGGAAGTGCTACTGTTAGCTACCGCTGCCATTATTAGCACTCGCAGWTATTTGYTCTTTGGTTCGTTAGCGACATCGTCGAAGGAAATRTGTGGATTTTTATAGACGAGCTGCTGRGTTTGTGGTTTTGTTGCATCACGACCCGGTTAGGTCCAAGCTTCAGCTGTTTGTGATCAACTCARTGACAGATCATCACCCTTCCACCACCGTGCCTGACAGCTGTTTRTGCTGATGTGTCGTGGTTGTTTTGCTGTGCATTATGGGTAACTGTACTCTGTGCTGGTTTTGCTGCAGGCCGGAGGTGATGAGCGAGAGCATCTGCCGCTGCTTCACTTCTTTAAGAGGACAACAGCTTTTCCTGCTTTCTGAACGTTGTTTGTGTTATGGAAACAATCGATGTCTGTTAAAAGATTCTCGGTTCTTTCGGCTGCTGGTTTCTGTTGCGTCTCAAATCCACGAACCAGAAGGAAGCGGATCCGGCCCGACCGGTCAGGGGAGTTTTAGAACCCGTCTGTGTTCATTCCAGGTTTCTGACCGGCTCTGTTGTGGTTCTGTTTCTCAGCGACAGGACCAGCTGACGCCACTCCCTCACCCCCAGAGGGATCGTTGAAATGGTTCCTCTCGGATGCAGCTCAGTGGCTTAATGGGATTAAAACTCAGAATTTATGTTTTCTTTTAATCCTTTTCTAAATCAAAGTGCTGACTCGGTGGCTCTGGTGTTTGTCTCATGATGTGAAAATATTCACCCCTTTTGTGTTTTCTGCTCTGTTGGAATTTAAGCAGGTTTTCAAACCACTSAATGGTTTTACCAATGGTTTTTATGATTGAGTGTTCACCTACGATCCGATCCAGTTCAAGATGGCGGATCGACATTAAAGTGTCTTTGACATCAAATTTTTCTGAAAAATAAGGATGCACTTTTGGAAAGATAATGATAACATATTGCAGATGCAATTCCACACCACTGAGATGAACAGTTGTTAAGATATTTACATGTGAAGTAACAGGAAGTGATGTCAAAGGGGAATGCCTGCATGTGAACAGAGCATTGCTACAMACGGCTAACAACACAGACARYAGGGGATTTTCTGTTTCTTTAGATAATTTTAGTCTCTATAAGAGAGTCAGAGTTTAAAAAATATTGTTTTTATAAACAAAGACCAGGGAGTTTTCTTTTTTAAAGAGTTCCCCTTTGATGTCACTTCCTGTTTCACTTTAGCTGAGCCAAGTTCAAAGGAAAATATGACAAAATTTGATAAATTATGTTTTAGGCCAATTTTCCTAAATATAAAGAGATGTTTTCTTTGACTTTTTGTATTTGAAGGATAGGCATGTCACAGGTACTTTAATCAACACTCAGTTCAGTCAGATTTACATTTATTGGCCTGAGATTTGGAGTGGTGGTAGCTGAGACGTCYCTTTGTGTCTCCAGTGGGATCTGGTGTGCGGTCGGTACTGGTTGGTCCCGGTGGAGGAGGTGTGTTTCATCCTGGGTGTCCTGATTGGCTGCCTCTGTTTGGGCTTCGCGGCTGACAGGTAAAGTTTTGACCTCGGCTCGTCAGTTTAACCTGATCCAGGTTTCAAAAAGCTGAACAGATTTAGAATTTACAGCTCATTTTGTAGCTTCTTGGTACATGTTAGCTTCTAGTTATCATTTTTCTACTTTTACCCACCGCTATTTTTAGCTTTTAGTTACCTTTTAGATCTTAGTTAGCCTTTTGTTTTTTCAGCTAGCATTTAGCTAGTCTTACAGTACATTTAGCTTTTAGCTAGCCTTTAGTTTGTTCAGCCTTTAGTTAGGGTTCTTGAGCTTTCATAATACGTTTAGCCTTTCCCAGGTTTCCTGCTCCTTTTAGTTACCCTTTTGCTTTATTTAGACTTTAGCTTGGCTTTTGCTACATTTAGCTTTAGTTAGCCTTTTAATACTTTTAGCCTTTCTCATGTCTTGCTAGTCTTTTGCTAGGGTCCTGCAGCTTACAGCTAGCCTTTTCCTACGTGCAGGTTTTAGCTAGCCTTTTGCTACGTGTAGGTTTTAGCTAGCCTGTTGCTACATTTAGCAGTTACCTAGCCTTTTGATACTTTTTGCTATTCTCTGTGGGATTAATTGTCAAATTAATCGTTTTCGGCTAAATACCACAGTTAATCGTGATTAATTTTTTTGCCAATATTGCCCAACCCTACTTTAGCAGATATTAAACGATCTTTCAGCTGTTTTTATTTCATAGCTAAAGTTCTACCTGCTCCATCTCTTCTGTGTCTCTGCAGGCTGGGCAGGTCCAAGACCCTGCTGACCTCTCTGACCCTGTCGGTCGTCTTYGGGGTTCTGGTGTGCGTGTCTCCGTACCCGTCCATCTTCATCGTCATGCGTTTCTGCCTGGCTGCTGCCAGTGCAGGAGTCTACCTGACTCTCTACATCATGCGTGAGTGTTTCTGTGTAGCGTAGTGCTAACAGGTGGAGGTAAACATGTAGCGTAATGTTAACAGGTGAGGTAAACATGTGTAGCATAGTGCTAACAGGTGACGTCAACATGTAGCATAGTGCTAACAGGTGAGGTCAACATGTAGCATAGTGCTAACATGTGAGTTCAACATGTAGCATAGTGCTAACAGGTGAGTTCAACATGTAGCATACTGCTATCAGGTGAGGTCAACATGTAGTATAGTGCTAACAGGTGAGGTCAACATGTAGCATAGTTCTAACAGGTGAGGTCAACATGTAGCATAGTGCTAACAGATGAAGGTAAATGTGTAGCGTAATGCTAACAGGTGGTGGTAAACATTTAGCATAGTGCTAACAGGTGAGGTCAACATGTAGCATAGTGCTAACAGATGCAGATAAATGTGTAGCATAGTGCTAACAGGCGAAGTAAACATGTAGCRTAATGCTAACAGGTGAGGTAAATGTGTAGCGTAGTGCTAAGAGGTGAGATAAATGTGTAGCATAGTGCTAAAAGGTGGTGGTAAACGTGTAGCTTAGTGCTAACAGGTGAGGTAAACATGTAGTGTAACACTAACAGGTGGAGGTAAACATGTAGCATAGTGCTAACAGGTGAGGTAAATGTGTAGCGTAGTGCTAAGAGGTGAGATAAATGTGTAGCATAGTGCTAAAAGGTGGTGGTAAACATGTAGCATAGTGCTAACAGGTGAGGTAACATGTAGTATAGCGCTAACAGGTGGCGGTAAACATGTAGTATAGTGCTAACAGGTGGCGGTAAACATGTAGCGTAGTGCTAACAGGTGAGTTAAACATGTAGCGTAGTGCTAACAGGTGAGGTAAACGTGTAGCATAGTGCTAACAGGTGAGGTAAATGTGTAGCATAGTGCTAACAGGTGAGATAAATGTGTAGCATAGTGCTAAAAGGTGGTGGTAAACATGTAGCATAGTGCTAACGGGTGAGGTAAACATGTAGTGTAACACTAACAGGTGGAGGTAAACATATAGCATAGTGCTAACAGGTGAGGTAAACATGTAGTAAAGCAATAACAGGTGGCGGTAAACATGTAGCATAGTGCTAACCGTGAGGTAAACATGTAGTGTAACACTAACAGGTGGAGGTAAACATGTAGCATAGTGCTAACAGGTGAGGTAAACATGTAGCATAGTGCTAACAGGTGGCGGTAAACATGTAGCGTAGTGCTAACAGGTGAGGTAAACATGTAGCTTAGTGCTAACAGGTGAGGTAAACATGTAGCATAGTGCTAACAGGTGAGGTAAACATGTAGCATAATGCTAACAGGTGTGGTAAACATGTAGCATAGTGCTAACAAGTGAGGTAAATGTGTAGCGTAGTGCTAACAGGTGAGGTAAATGTGTAGCATAGTGCTAACAGGTGGCGGTAAACGTAGCATAGTGCTAACAGGTGAGGTAAACATGTAGTGTAACACTAACAGGTGGAGGTAAACATGTAGCATAGTGCTAACAGGTGGCGGTAAACATGTAGTTTAGTACTAACAGGTGAGGTAAACATGTAGCATAGTGCTAACAGGTGAGGTAAACGTGACTAAAGCAGAACTTCCTGTTGGACCTGGCAGGTCTGGAGCTCTGTGAGCCGTCTCTCAGGCTGGTGGTGACCATGCTGGCCGGGCTGATGACCGTGGCTGGAGAGCTGCTGCTGCTGGCCGTGGCCCTCGGCTGTCAGTCCTGGAGGGGTCTGCTGGGGGCCGGAGCCACTCCTTTAGCTCTGTTCCTCAGCTACGGGTACAAAATGCCTCTTTGTTTGTGTTTAGTGTCGGAGTTTTTAAATAATATTAAATAATCTGTGACCTGCAGCTTCCAGGTGTTTGACCCTTTATTTCCTCACTTGCAGCGTTCCAGGTGTGTTTCCTGAATCTCCTCGCTGGCTCCTCCTGTCGGAGCGGTCTGTGGACACAAGCGCGTTCAGCGAGAGAAGAAACTCCAGCAGAGACGTGAGAGACGACGAGAGCTTCACAGGTGTGTTCCCAGAGAACAGGTGTGTTCCCAGAGAACAGGTGTGTTCCCAGAGAACAGATGTGTTCACAGAGAACAGGTGTGTTCACAGAGAACAGGTGTGTTCCCAGAGAACAGGTGTGTTCCCAGAGAACAGGTGTGTTCCCAGAGAACAGGTGTGCTCACAGAGAACAGGTGTGTTCACAGAGAAAAGCTGCTCTGAGGCTAAACTAAAAAACAAAGAATGAAATCCTGCTGCAGCTGTAGAAACTTTGTTTACATGTAAACATGTGTGTTTGGGTGTGAGGAGTTCCCACCACAAACAACCCGACTCACTTTAATCCAGATGTTTTGTCAACAAAYAAACTGCAGACAAAATTACCTTCAGAGCTCAAAATCAAGAAAGTTTGATTTAGATTTTAAAGATTTCAACAGTTTTTCATTCATTTCAATGGAAAAAGTCTCAAACTTACAGCAGCTGAAATTAGCTGAACAGATAAGTTTAAATTAGCTAAATACAAGCTAAATGATTTATGAAGCTAAAACTAGCTAATCAGTAACTAAAATCTAAAAATTAGCTAAGCAGCTTTCCAGTAACTCTGAAAAAACCGAGGGTAAAAGCTAAACTTAGTTAACAGTTAAAACTAAAATGTAGTTAAATAATAAAAGCTACTATAAGCTATATTGCTGAAAATAAAGCAAAGTGAAGAAAAGATTAAAAAAAGCTAAAACAAGCAAAACAATTTCTAAAAGCTAAAAGCTAGAATTGGCTAAGCAGCTTGCAGTTAACCTAGTTAAGCAAAAAATAAAAGCTAAAATGAGTTAAACAGCTAAAATTAAACCTAGATTAATGCAATTTAAAAGTTAAACTTAGCTAAACAGCTAAAAGTTAAAATGGACTTAAATGATAAAAGCTAAAATTAGCTAAATTGTTAAATGCTAAAGCTAGGTTAACAAAATATGAAGGTTATAGGACAACCCTCTCAAAACAGTAGCTAAAAGCTAGAATTGGCTAAGCAGCTTACAGTTAACCTAGTTAAGCAAAAAATAAAMGCTAAAATGAGCTAAACAGCTAAAATTAAACCTAGCTGAATCTAAAATAAAAGTTAAACTTAGCTAAACAGCTAAAAGTTAAAATGGACTTAAATGATAAATGCTAAAATGAGCTAAAATGTTAAATGCTAAAGCTAGGTTAAAATATGAAGGTTATAAACTAAACATCTCAAAATAGTAGCTAAAAGCTAAATGTAGTTAAACTGCTAAAACTTAAAGCTAAGTAAACAAAATAAACTTCCAAATTAACAAAACAGAAGCTAAAAGCTTGAAGCCTAACATTGCTAAAAGTGACAATTAGCCAAACAGCTAAAAGTTAAACTTGGGTAAAGAAATGATAAAAGCTAAAATTAGCAAAACAAACGGTAAAACTTCAAGAACAGTAACTGAAAGCTAAAAGTAGCTAAAAAGCTAAAAGTTAAAACTGTTACCAAGGTCAGAAGTTGAAATTAGCCAAACAAAACATAAACCTGTTTAAAACAATGATTAATAGCTAAACAGACATGAAAGTAGCTAAAAGCAAAAATTAAAAAAGGAAGAATAAAATAGATTCTAAAGAGACAAACTTTGTAAAGAATACAAAGTAGTTATTTATATTGAAATATATTTTGCAAAAGGTAAACTTAGCTAATAAGCTAAGAGTTAAAGTGAGCAGGGCAAAGCTAAAAGCAGCAGAACAGCAGCTAAAAGCTAAAGTGTTTTGTCTCTTGTTTCCTGCAGAGCTGGACTCGGAGCCGGCCCCCTCCTCGCGCCCCCACCTGTCCTTCCCTGAGCTCTTCCACAGCAGGAACATCTGGAAGAACCTGTGCGTGCTCGGCTTCACCTCGTAAGTCCCGAGCCGCCGCCGCGTCTCACTTCCTGTCGCCCTCGCTCAGCTTCCTGTCTCTCCTCAGCTTCATTTCCCACGGCATCAGCCACTGCTACAGCTCCTTCCGAGGGGACGTCCGAGGCTCCGCCCCCAGCTTCTACTGGACGTACCTGCTGTCTGTGTGCGCGGGGGGCGGAGCCTGGCTGCTGCTCTGGGCCGTGGTGGACAGGTGCGGACGCCGTGGCATCCTGCTGCTGTCCATGACGATGACGGGCCTGGCGTCTCTGATCCTCCTGGGCCTCATGGAGTGTAAGCAGGTTTAATGTTTTTAAATTCTCAAAGTTTACTAGAGGAATGGCATGAATGCTAGTGAGCTGAAAACTTTAGCTGAAAGTTAAAGTTTAATACAAGTTCATTTGAAGCTTGAAAAGCTCAAATTAGCAGAAAGAAGCTAAAATTAGCTTAAACTAAAGGTAGCACACACAAGTTAAAATTAGTTTACAGAAGTGAAAGTGGTGTAACGAAAGCTAAATAAGCAGGCAAAAAGAATGAAACTACAAAGAAGTCGCTAATTGTAGCTAAAACAGCCGAAATATGCATCAGTATGGCTAAAATGTAGCCGAAAATGCTGAATTTAGGTTAAATAAGCAGAAGGAGCACGTTTGCAGAACTTAGCAGAAAGAAGCTAAAATGGCCCCCAAAATGTGAATGTAGCTTAAAAAACAAATTTAGCTAATAACAGCTGAACAGTAGCTAAAACGTTACTAAACAGCTGAAAAAAGCAGAGAGCAGCTGAAAGAAGCAAAGGATGCTCAAATTAGAAAAGAGGAGCCGGAAGCACAAAAAAGTACAATCTAGCAGAAGAATAGTAGAAAGGAGGAGAATTTTAGCAAGAATTAGCAGGGAAAAAAGCTAAAATTAGCTTAATAAGAAACTAAAGGTAGAAGACAGAAGATAAAATTAGTTTTCAGATGATGAAAGTGGTGTAAAAAAGTTAAATAAGCAGGCAARAAGAATGAAAGTACAATGAAGTTGCTAATTGTAGCTAAAACAGCCGAAATGTGCATCAGTATGGCTAAAATGTAGCTGAAAGTGCTGATTTTAGCCTAAAGAAGTAGGAGCACGTTTGCAGAACTTTGCAGAAAGAAGCTAAAATGGCCCCCAAAATGTGAATGTAGCTTAAAAAACAATTTTAGCTAATAACAGCTGAACAGTAGCTAAAACTGCTGCAAACAGCTGAAATAAGCAGMGAGCAGCCGAAATAAGCAATGGATGCTCAAATTAGCAAAGAGAAGCTGGAAGCACAAAAATGTACAATCWAGCAGAAGAATAGCAGAAAGGAGGAGAATTTTAGCAAGAACTAACAGAAAAAAGCTAAAGTTAGCAATAACAGAAGCTAAATATAGCACAAGGAAGTTAAAAAGAGCTGAACCAGAACAAAATGTGCAAAGATTTATAAACATTTTGAAGGGTTTTAAAGGGCTCTATTCATTATTAATAGGGAAAAATGTGGCCGAAAAAGTGAAATAGCTAAAAAAGTAAAAATGACTGAAATACCTAAARTCATAGCTGGAATGTCCTGAAGTAGCTGAACATTTTGATATATGAATTATTCACTCAGTCAYCTGCTGAGTTGAAAATGAATGGAAAGTCTGACCTCCTGGTTTTTGCACCACCAGCTCTYGGTCTCTGTCTCCCCCTGGTGGCGGAGTGACGTCATGACAGCCTGGTTAGATCTGAAGCTGCAGGCGGATAAAAACACACGCCGTGTTGATTTTTGCTCCTCTTCCTGTTAGATCTCAGCGAGGCGGCCATCACGGTGTTCTCGGTACTCGGGCTCTTCTCCTCCCAGGCCACGGCGTCGCTCTGCATCCTCTTCACGGCGGAGGTCATGCCCACCRTCATCAGGTAACAGGAGCAGCTGACGCCAGCACGGCTCAGGTTTTTATTTAACGCTGCTGAAAACGTCGTTTCTCCCCACACCCCGCAGGGGCAGCGGCGTCGGCGCCGTGCTCGCCCTGGGCTGCGTGGGCCGCCTCAGCTCCCCCATCATGGACCTGCGGAACCACTACGGCTACTTCCTGCACCACGTCATCTACTCCTCGCTGGCCCTGCTGGCCGTGCTCTCCATCCTGCTGCTGCCCGAGAGCAAGAGGAAGCCGCTGCCGCAGACGCTGGCCGACGGCGAGCAGTACCGCCGCCCGCCGCTGGGCCGCAGGAGGAGGGACAACGTGCCGCTGCTGGCCACGCCCAACCCAGAGACCTGAAGGAGCGGGAGGAGAGCGACACAGAGACTAGAAGGGTTAAAGGGCTGCTAACCTGCTGAACATATCATCCTCTCATCATTCCAGGCGGCGCCGCCTCCGACCTCACATCCTGCCGCTCTGTTCAGGTGTCGACACGAACACCTGAAACCTCCACCTTCCTGTTACACACCAGCACACACACACACACACAGCGCTGCACGCCTCCCTCCATCCTCCACGCTGCTCGAACACTACTTCCTGTTTGTTTGATTTACCTGAGCTCGTCCACTCACCTGTCCTAACGTGGTGTAAATACTCTGTTTGGAGCCGACCCTCGCAGCACGCTATGCAGCTGGAAATGAGCACTTTCAGTTATACGTTGGTTTTTTTTTTTTTTAAATAATAAATTTGTCCAAACTCTAAAAATGTAAAAATCATGAAGTCATGAGACGTTGACCCTCTGTGAACTCCTGAGGTTTTATGAGTCAGGACTRATTTAAAACCCTCTGATTTTTATTTCTCATAGTTCAGATTTAACCTGAAGTGTAGAAAGAAAMACCCAACAGATGCTCGTCTGTGGGAACGCCTCCAGAAACGCTACAGGTGTGTTTTAGCACAGCGACAGGAGGGGAAGACATCAGCCATGACCTCAGAGGAGCGTCTGTCAGGGAGARGTCAGGGAGAGGTCAAAGGTCACCTGTCAGGGAGAGGTCAAAGGTCACCAGTCAGGGAGAGGTMAAAGGTCACCTGTCAGGGAGAGGTCAAAGGTTGTTATACAGAGAATAATTTATCACAAGAGGAAAACTTTTAAAGTTCCTGTGACATTTYTATCCTTCAAATACAAAARGTCAAAGAAAGCATCTTTATACTTAAGAAAATTGGCATAGTACACATGATTTTACCCACTTTGTCCCATAATTGGCCTATTTTCTTTTAAATTTGGTTCTGCCAAAGTGAAACAGGAAGTGACATCAAAGGGGAACTCTTTAATAAAATAAACTCTCTGGTCTGTGTTTATTAAAACTAAATTATTTAAACTTTAACTCTTCTTCGTCTCTCTTTGATAGTAACTAAAATAATCTAAAGAAACATCAGATTCTCCTCTACAGTCTGTTGTTTTTGTAACAACGCTCTGTTTACATGCAGACATTCCCCTCTGACATCACTTCCTGTTTCTTCACATGTAAATATCTCAACAACTGTTCATCTCAGCGACGTGAAATTTGTTTTGCAGTATGTTATAAATGTTGTCTTTCCAAAAACACGTTCATGTTTATTACAAAAATTTGATGTCACAGGCACTTTAAAACAGCTGATCGTTTTAGCAACAGTTTGGCTAATTTGGGCTTTTAGCTGCAGTTTTGCCCATTTAAGCGTATTGCTATGGTGTAGCAAATTTGAGCTTTTAGCTACTCCCTTTGTTCACTTATGTTTGTAGCATCATTCATGTTAATTTAAGCTGTTTGTTATTGTTTTGCTAGTTTTAGCAAATGTGGCTAGTTTGAAGTTTTAGCTGCAGTTTTGCTGATTTGAGCTTTTAGCTACTGTTTTGTTAACTTTTGCTTGTTGCATCTGTTCAGCTAGTTTTAGCTGTGTGCCACTCTTCTGCTAATTTTAGCCAGTTTGGCTAATTTTGTCTAATTGTTGTGGTTTTTTTTTCTCATTTTAAGTTTGCTATATTTTAGCAAATTTGGGGTTTTAGCTACTGTTTTGACTTTTGCTCGTAGTAAAAATTCTGCTAATTTTAGCTGTTTTCTACTGTTCTGCCAAGTTTAGCAAGTAAATTTTAGTTATTAGTTGCAGTTTTTCTCATTTAGACATTTTGCTGTGGTTTTGCAAATTTGAGCTTCTAGCTGTTTTGTTAATGTTTGCTTTTAGCTTCTGTTTTGTCAAATTTAGCAACAGCTAAGCTAATGCTTTCTTTTAGATGCAGTTTTACCTTTTAGCTACTGTTTTGCTAATTTTAGCAAGTTTGGATAATTATAGCATTTAGCTGCAGGTTTGCCTATTTAAGCTTTTTGCTGCCCCTTTTAGCTACTCTTTTGTTCATTATTGCTTGTAGCATCAGTTTTTCTAATTTTAGCCTTTAGCTACTACTCAAAACATTTTTGCAAAATCTAAATTTGAGTTATGGTTTTACTGATTTTAGCTGTTGCTATAGTTTTGCTAATTAAACCTGTAGCTGTGGTTTAAGCTTATCTAATTGCAGCTTTTAATTAATTTTTTTGACATTCTGGTTTTATTTTTGTCCTGAAACATGAAATACCTGACAGAGGGTGACATTTATTGTTTTCATGACTGATTTTAATAATATTTAAATAAAAAATCTGGCCCGGAGCCAGAAATATTTATATGTTTTTGTTTGAAACAATCTGATGTCATCAGGTAAACATTCCTGTCTGCATGTTTTTGAGGCGCAGTGAAGGGCTCGTTTAGTTTTTATTTTCTCTGTGTTTTTTTTAAACTAACTTAATGTAATACCTCTTTATGTCTCGGCTGTTAGATCACCAACAAGCTGCAGCTGAATCAGCTAAAAAATCGGCCACTTTTGTTGGAGCTAACGAGGCTCGTGTTTCTCCTGAATGTTTTTAACGACGCCAGAGAACKGCCCGATGAGGGAGCAGAGCCAAATTAACTTCAATATTCTTCCACAAAGACACATTTTTTATTCTTAATAATGTTTTTGTTTAGTTTCATGAAACTGTAAATACGTATGAGTGGATATTTGACTTTCTTTGTTGTGAAACCTTAAAAAGGAAGCATGGAGGTCGACAATTTTCTCCGMTGAGCTTTTATTTTGTTGCACTTTAGTCTGTTAAACTTTATCACTGAATAACCTGATATAATGTCTGACAGCACTGATGATTCATGTGATGCAGTTAATCTCTAAGCCTGTTTTCATGTCAATTAAACCAGTTCAAACAAACAGGAAGTCACGCTTACTGTCTCTGAAGACTGACTGATATAAGCTTAAAAGTTTCACGGTCGAGATTTGACCAAAAGAAAATAAAACATTAAGTGATAATTCAGATTCAAGGAGTGCTAGGCCTTTATTTTTTTATTGTATTTAATATTTACTAAATTTATGTATAATCTCACCAATTGTTCTCAAATGTCTTAATATTAACTAACAGTTTTCCACCAGTTACGTATTGAACTGATTCACCAAAATAAAACAATTTGAAGTGTTTCCTGCYAACTTACAGCTTCAGCTTTTATCAGATTTAATCTAAACAAAAAAGCCACAACAATGGAAGCTGTGGTTCATGTTTCTGATGAAAAACATGGCGGCTCAGATAAGGAACATGTCAGAAAGTGAAAACAGCCATCAGTGGGACCAAAGTATGGAGCTACATTAGTGCCATAAAGTTTATTAAAAAATAAAAACTGGAAAAAAGTTAAAAACTCCTGTTGGATGCAAAGATTTATTTTATTTTTTAGTTTCAAACTTCTGTTCCTGTTTTGGCGTGGGGGCGGAGCCTCAGAGGACAAGGGTTTTGTAATCATTGACAGCTGGTTGTCAATGTCGTATTATTTCCTCATAAATTTGTGTCTTGTCGACAAAAGCAGTTTATATCAGTTAAGCATTTTTTAAAGCTAATCACAAAAATAGAAAATCTGATTTTTTTAGACATTTTCAGTTCCAACGGTTCCTGAACGCAACAGCTGTGAATATTTTGTCCAGCTGCTTTGAAAAACAGGGAAAAAAGTTTGAAACTGAATAATAAAAAAACAAGAATTTGAAAAGTTTATTTTTTCCCCTCAGTTTCAAATATTGTTTTACAAATTCAAAATTGTTTTTCAGTTTCGAATCTTTTTCAATTTCAACTTTTTTAGTTTTAACCCTTTTTTTTTCAAATTCAATTTTTTTTTTCAGATTCAAATTTTGTTAACGGGCAGAACACAGAACACCTGTGTTCTGCATTTACTTTTGTTTCACTTTAAAACGTCCTGCACGGCTTTTACGGTAATGTCAAAATGGTCGTCTAGACCCGCCTCTTTTGATTGACACCTCATTTGACCAACCGAGTTCATCTACAGAGCCCAAAATGTGTGACAAAGCTCCTCATGTCCCGCCCACAGCACATGTGCTGGATTGACTGTAGAATCGGCCAATCAGCTCTGAGCTTCATTCTCACCTCACAGCTGTAGCCAATCACCTTACCTTTTATTTGAAAAATAGTTTTGGGGGGTGGGAAACAAGATTTGTGATGTGTTATCCACTTTCTCCCCCTAGTGGTGAGAACGGACATAGAAAACATGGGTTTTAAAGCAGTTTTTGGACAGTTAGCTGACTAAACAGGCTGTTAAAGAGGAAATATATTTTTTATGAAGTCATCTGAGAGCTTCAAGACAAGGAAGAGGGATTTTTGATGCCAGGAAAAGTGCTAAAAGGAACGTACGTACCACTTCCTGTCGCCATTTTGAATCGTTTTTCGTCAGTAATTGAGGACAAATATGCCTCAAAGTAAGTAGAAAACATATATTTTTTTTGCTGCAGGTGTTTTTTTAAGCTGTATGGAATGTTTATGCTTTGAAAAATGTAGGGATATATTTGTTTTTTGTTGTGTTTTGGCTGTTTGTTGGTGGAGATTTGCTGATATTAATGTAGCTGAATATTTTATTTTGTATTTTAATCATGCCGCGGGTAAATATGGATGATAGAATGTGATTTGTGTGTTTTTTATCTTTCACATGAGCTGTCAGTGTGCTCTGTGTTGAAGCATTTAGAAATTAATGTTTAGATAAAAGTGTCCAGTTTGGACATATGTTGGATATATTAATCAATGGGACATGCTGAATTGTATATTAAGTCTCAAATATTCATTTTCATGCTGTTACCAAATTTGAACTGGTAATAGTTGGGAATCTATATTTTAGTCTAATATATTGTTTCCTCCTTTAATGTTTTGTGAGATTTTAAAATAAAAATTTAGGGAGAAAAAAATATTGATTTTTATGTAACTTCAATAACTAAATACTAGTTACAGTCACAAAAAATATGACTGCTGAAGTTAAAAAATCAGATTATTARCTTTAAAAAGAGATCCAAGTTTGTGAATTAAAGCACGTGTCAAACTGTGGCCCTCCAGGAGGGCTATTTATTTGGATAGCACAGAATTAATGTCTGAAAATAAGCTGCTTTAAAGTCAGCAGCAACCATAAATTAATCTGCCTTAATGCAGCTAGAAACTCATCAGTGATAAAAACTTTATTATTGGTTTTACTTTTAATAATATTTCTGTATTTATTTCAGATTTAGTCAGTCATACACTTGGTTCTTATCAGTGTTTAAAAGAGGACGAGTTAAAACTCTGTTTAGTCAAAGTTAAACAGGAAWCATCAAAGTTAACTACAGCTGGCCCTTCGAGGGCCACCACAACGCTCATGTGGCCCTCGGTGAAAACGAGTTCGACACCCCTGAGGGTTCAAGAGCAGCACTTCATTTAATTTGTGTTTGTTTTTTGAGGGGTTTTATGGAATGTTAGGCCTGCATGTTAACTGGTTTATGTCACAAAATTGATTCCATACTAATCCTTCCTTTTATCTTTATTTTTCAGTTTTAATCTTGTTTTTCCATTTCAAATAATTTTTCTACCAAACTTTATGCTCCCAATTTGGCTTCATAAGTTT